CAGGTCATACAAACTCCCCCTTCTTTCATATGATTCCCTGTACCCTGCCGAAGGTTTGGTTATGAGTCTCAGCATCTGCTTTGGTACACTACTAGGTAGAATCTTTCAGAGGCCGTCTGGGAGGAGGTCCTCCCCTATCAGGGGACTTGGAAAGTGGCAAGAAAGAGATGAGTAAGTGAGTGAGGTGTTGGGAGGGAATGAGGGAGGGGGATAGAGCTGAGATACAAAGTTAATAAACTGTAACTAATATTAAAAAATAAAAATAAATAAATAGGAAAAAGAAAAAAATATATATACTCACAAATACACCCTCCCATTACCCAGTAACTTTTTTTAATTAATTTATTTTTATTGATTACAGTTTATTCATTTAGTGTCCCAGCTATAGCCCCTTCCCTCATCCCCTCCCCATCCCACCCTCTCTTCCTCATCTCCTCCCGTGGCCCTCTCTAAGTCTACTGGTAGGGGAGGTCCTTCTCCCCTTCCATCTGACCCTAGCATATCAGGTCTCATCAGGACTGGCTGCATTGTCTTCCTCTGTGGCCTGGTAAGGCTGCTCCCCACTCAGGAGGAGGTGAACAAAGAGACAGCCACTGAGTTCATGTCTGATATAGCCCCTGTTCCCATTACTAGGGCACGAACTTGGATACTAGGCTGCCATGGGCTAAAAATTTGCTGGGGTTCTAGGTTATCTCCATGCATGATCTGAGTATCAGTCTCAGAAAAGACCACTTTGCCCAGTTTGCTTGTTTGTTTGTTTCTGTTGCTCTCCTTGTAGAGCTCCTATCCCTGCCAGGTTGTTCTATCTCCCCCTTCCTTCATAAACTTCCATCACTCTGCCCAAAATTTGGCTATGAGTCTCAACATCTGCTTTGATACTCTGCTAGGCAGAGTGTTTCAAAGGCCCTCTATGGTAGGCTCCTGTCCTGTTCCCTGTTTTCTCCCTCTTCCGATGTCCATCCAGTTTGTTTTTCTGAATGAGGATTGATCATCTTACCAAGGCTCCTCCTTCTTGCTAAACTTCTGTAGGTGTACAGATTTTAGTATGTTTACCCAGTAACTTTCAAAGATTCACTGTAAGTTTTATTTCATTGTTTAATGAGACATGGGAAACAAAACTATGGTGCACATTAAGAAAAAGTGGTGGGTGTGCAGTTGTATGTAAGGTGGCATTTTCTACATGAATTCATTTACTGTATTTAAAACTTATAATCACTGTTATTCTATGTATTTAAGTAGCAATACATTGAGACTTTCAGATATAAAGTTTTCACTTTTATTGATTGTCACAGTTGATGGGCATCAATTGCTGTCTGCTATTTAAAAAATGAATGGCTCTTACATAATAAACACCATTTCTATTTAAAATATAAATCTCATTCACAAAGTAATTGATTGAACTGGGACATTATAATGTAATTCCTTTAGTTTATCTCAGGTCCATAGGAATAAGAAATGTTTATAGGGGAAAATAAGTATAAGCTGAAGAGCAAATATTAATCATTAGTTGTAACATGAGATCTAGAGAGGGCATGTGAATTTAAATTGGGGGAGGACAAGAATACCTGACTAAAAAGAGAGATGTAAACAGATGGACATGAGTAATATCTGCCAAGAAACAATAATTGGAGGAAATCAAAAAAAGAACTGAAATCAAGATTAGAAGGACAACTAAGTTTGGCATAAGTGAATAAAGTACAACCTAGAACAGAGTTTAAATAAATTTCCAAAGGTAAGAGTAACAGTTTGAATAACAGTCAAGAATATCTTTTGAGGGAGTGAAGAAAAATGGAAAGATACAGGAAATGGGGATTCTCTAAGCAAAGAAAATGATCTACAGGGATTTTAATAACCAGTCATTCCATTCATTTGGAAAAATAACCCTCAATTTTATTATTTTCTACCATAAATATGGTTATTGATCTCCCTACCTAGAAGTCATATGCAAGTTACCTAATGGTGTGATGTTAAAACTAAAAGCATAGTGTGTAAAGACGATTAGGCCCCATTTTTATTTTCTATGCCCCCCAAATGCCCAGTGAACTCTGACAGCAATGTAGTGACTACTCCACTGTCACATGCAGTGGCCTCCAGCAAACTAAAAAGGGAATACTTTCTTTAATTTTAGAACTTTCTGTTACTCTCCAAACATAATTTCTTTTTTATATTTTTTATTTACTTTTTGATTTTTACAATTTATTCACTTTGTATCCCAGCTGTAGCCCCTCTCTAGTGCCCCCCCAATCCCACCCTTCCTCCCTTTTCTCTTTCATGCCCCTCCCCCAGCCCACTCATAGGGGAGGTCCTCCTCCCCTTCCATCTGAACCCTAGCTTTTCAGGTCTTATCATGGCTGGCTGTACTGTCTTCCTCTGTGGCCTGGTACAGCTGCACTTCCCCCAAGGAGAGGTGAACAGAGAGCAGGCCACTGAATTCATATCAGAGAAAGCCCCTGCTCCCGTTACACACTTGGAGGCCGAGCTACATAGTCTTTGGTTGAAGTATCAGTCTCAGAAAAGAATCCTGAACCCTGATATTTGGTTCTTTTTGTCTCCTAGTGGAGTTCCTGTCTCTTCCAGGTCTTTCTATCTCCCCCTTCTTTCATAAACTAACATGCACTCTGCCTAAAATTGGCGATGAATCTCAGCATCTGCTTTGATACCCTGCTGACTAGAGCCTTTCAGAGGCCCTCTGTGGCAGGCTTCTATCTTGTTCCCTGTTTAATTCCTCTTCCAGTGTCTATCCCATTTGCTTTCTGTGTCGGGATTGATCGACTTCCCTAGGTCCTCCTTCTTGTTTACCTTCTTTAGGAATACATTTTTTTTGTATGTTTATCCCATGATATATGGCTAATACCATTTGTGAGTATATACCATGCTTTCTGCTTCTGGGTTACCTCACCCAGGATGATTTTTTTTCTAGTTCCCACCATTTGCCTGCAAACTTTATGATTTCCTTGTTTTTAATTGCTGAGTAGTGTTCCATTTTTTAAATGTACCACACTTTCTGTATCCATTCCTCCATTGAGGGACATCTGGGTTGTTTCCAGATTCTGGGTTTTGCAAATAAAGCTGCTATGAACGTGGTTGAACAAATATCCTTGTTTGATACTTCTGCATATTTTGTATATATGCCTAGGAGTGGTATAGTTGGATATTTCTAATGTTCTGAGAAAGCGCCAGATTGATTTTTAAAGTGGTTGTACAAGTTTACATTCATAATTTCTTTTTTTGAAAGAACTTTTTATATGTACAACATATTACAGATAACAATAGAAATTAGATATTGCAAGGTTGAAAGTTAAGAAACATTATGAAAAGAAATGGAATATGCTGGTATCACATATATTTTGCCAGGAAGCATTCCAAACCTGGATATTGCATAAAGTCTAATAATTCCTACAAATGGATACAAAATGGAATAAATGAAATATAAAAGCTTTATCTTTGTCCTTTCCCATTCAACAAATTAAGCGCAAGAATATGGTAAAACATTGACAAGTTTGCTTTTCAGCCAGAAACAAGAAACTGGTTTCTTTTACTTTTAAAGAATTATTTTAGACCCCTCCCCACTTCTCCTTCTTCCCAAAGAAATGGGTTCTTCCAAGGATACCAGCCCACCCTGGCACCTCAAGTCACAACAAGATTAAGTGCATCCTCTCTCACTGAGGCCAGACAAGGTAGCCCAGCTAGGGGAAAAGGATATAGTCGCCAGCAACAGAGTCTGAGACAGCCCCTACTCCCCTTGTACAGGGACCCACATGTTAACCATGCTGAACATTTGCTACATATGCAGGTGATTTGTATCTAGTTCATGCATGCTCTTTGGTTGGTGGTTCAATATCTATGAGTCCTAATAGATCCAGGTTAGTTTACTCTGTAGGTCTTCTTGTGGTCTCCTTGAACCCTCTGGTTCCCATTATACTTCCTCCAACTCTTCCACAGAACTCTCCAAGCTCAGCCTATTCTTTGGCTGTGGATCTCTGCCTTTATTTCCATCAGCTGCTGGAAGAAGCCTTTTAGAAGACAGTTATTCTAGGCTCCTCTCCGCAAATATGTCAGAGTATCATTAATAATGTTAAAGGTTGGCTCTCTCCCATAGGGTGGATTTCAGGTTGGACCAGTAGTAATTGATTTGCCATTCCTTTAATGTCTACTCTACATTTATCCCCATACTTCATGAAGGTAAGGCAAATGTTGGGTCAAAGGTTTTATGGGTAGGTTGATGTCTTGCCCCCTCCATTAGATGTTGTCCCTGGCTACATGCAATGGTGAAGAGGTGACTTCATTCTCCATATTATCCACTTCTAGAGGTTTCAGCTAGTGTCACCACTTTAGACTCCTAGGAGCCTCCCCTGTCTCAGAGATGGCTCCCCACCAATTTCTGTTCTCTTCTAGTTTTCCCTGAATTTGTATTGACTCTTTGTACGTTTCCATCATTTCCCAGTCCCCCTGTCCTGTTATATCCAATCATACCCTTGCAACCCCTCCCAAATAAAACAAACACACAAATAAACAACAACAAACATAGAAAAGATCTCATCATGGAAGCAATATTATGTCACAGTGTGTCCGATGTTATTTCCCTCTGTCCACACATCTTGACTTGCAAATGTTCATTGCAATTCATCATTCATCTGTTTTGAGATCTCTGACTTTTGTAATGCCATCAATACTGGATCCTCACAGGGACTTCTCCTGGTTATCCTGTCGTTTCCCTGTGTCATGGGGATCCTCTAGCTTTGGGACAGTAGGACTGGCCCTTTCGCATATCACAACTGTTCACAGATGATATAGATTTCTGGTGGCTTGGTCTGCAGGCTGCCTATGCAGCTGGTGGCCCCTACACCACCTCCTTCTGTGCTAAATGGCATGACAGCAAGCAGTGTTTATGGCCCACCTGTGCCATTTACTAGAAGGCAGGTTCGTGGGTGGCTTGGTAGTATGTAGGTCTGTCTTTCTCCTTTGGTGCTGTTCTGCTTGGATTTGATTGAATTGAATTTTTATGAGTCCTAGATGTAAGACAGCTTTGGCCACCAAACTAAGTATAAAGCTAGGATGAACAAAAGATTGCCATCTGCTCTGCCCTGGCTGATATAAGAAAAACATCACCATTAAGGTATTTCCTTGCCCATTGCCAGGGGGATGAACTGGTTTCTTACCAAAAAGTTTTTGTGTAAACATTGTTGAGTGGTAGTTTGTATTGTAATCCATAAAAGGTTGATAATAGAACACGTGATTTAATAGCTTAAAATATATGTGGTTAGCTTATTGAATTCATATCATATATATTAATAGATAACATTTACTTGCATTTCTCACTTATTTGTACAATAAAATATACACTGAATTTGTTATGTAAGTGTAAAAATATGGAGTCACTGGAAAAATCTATTACTTTCAGATATTCTAATTCTTTGACCTGTCCAAGAATTAGAGACTATACAGTTTAGTAACTGTTTGGCCCAAGTTCTTTATCATCAACATATTCTCAATGTGCCCTAATAAAAATTAATCAAAAAGAAGTAATTATTCTCATGATGTCTAAATTCTGAAAAGCTGATGTTCGATGGATTATATGAGTAAAGAAAAGCAATATGTGTATAAACATATACACCTTTAGACAGAATTGTGCAGAGAAAGCTCTGAGATAAAATTTCTGTAGTAGTTCTTGGGGGGGAAAAACTTTTCTATGTCTTCAGTTTTCCTGACCTCAAAGATAGCATGTTATGGCTTGCTTTAATATCTAAGATGTATTTAATCCCATGCAACACATGTTAACATAATTGGTTAGGCTCTGTAAAACTCAAATGCTCATTCTTACCTAACCTGTGGTCTAAGTAGCTGTGGGAAAGTTATTTCAATTGCAGGAAGACCCTATTTTCTTTATGGTCAGGTTTTTTTACACTTGCTTGTTATATGACTTTGTAAACAGTAACAGTCTCCTTCACAGACCTAAATTTATTCCTTTTCAAATATACTAGATGATATTCCAGAGTTTTCCAGTTCTCCATCTATTTGTCTGAAAATATTCAAACTCACTAAAAGCATACAACTATAGAAATTCAGAAGGCCTATGGAAGATTTCTTTTCTTGCTTCCCTTTTGTTTAATGGATATGGTGGGGAATTAGATCCTATCATTTGCCAACATTGAGGTGACTGGCTCTTTGACCTCCCCACGCCCCAAGGGAGGAGCAGTCCTGTTAGGCCACAGAGGAGGCCTTCGCAGCCAGTCCTGAAGATACCTGATAAAACAGGATCAGATGAATGGGAAGGAGGTCCCCCCCATCAGTGGACTTGGAAAGGGGCAAGGTGGAGATGAGGGAGGGAGGGTGGGTTTGGGAGGGAATGAGGAAGCAGGACACAGCTGGGATACAGAGTTAATAAAATGTAACTGATAAGAAAAAATAAAATTAAAAAGAAAAATAAATTTGAAAAGTGTGTGTGTGTGTGTGTGTGTGTGCGTGTGCGCGTGCACATGTGTGTGTCCAATGACTAGTCTCCTACTACTGTCCTTTGGTTCTAGTCCCCAAATTATTGCCTGATTTTTATGGCTGCAATCATATAACAGCTCAAGGGCAAGAGCTATATCAGTGTCTGCTGAAAGAATGAAAATGGTAGACAGCACTAAAAGCAAAACAAGCATGGAGAAAACCACATACCATCTTCTCTATATCAAAACTGTCCTAGGATGTCCTCACTGTTTGAGCAGAGGCCACAGTACATGTTCTACCCTTATATTTTGGTCCCACAACATGCTCTGAAAAGTAATTCAAAAGTCTATCTGAGAAGAGATCTTTTGTTGGAACACAGACCATGACATGAAAATATCTTGGGTAGATGTTAGTCATATATAGGCCATGTACTACATAAAATGGCCTAGTTGTATCTCCCTCAAGCAAACTAATATTTGGTCAAGCCAACTGTCAGATTAGGTATTTAACTATGCTTATTGAAACTTTCTGAATACTACAATTTCCACGTATTAATTATATATTTTGATAAAGTGTACATCAATGAGATGGTAAGTAACTGGCAACACTTTAAAGGAATCAAATAAGTCCTACAGACAGACACAAATCATGAAGGTACAGGAAGCATAGCATCAGCTTTGCTTACATATGGTAAAATGTTATTAGTTAACAGTATTTTTTACCCCTTCTTTTTCATTACAGTTATAAAATCCATGTCAAGGATAGTAGAAATGCAGAGTACTTGCAGTATTTATGATGTGTAAGGGATCAATTCTAGTATTTATCAAAGAGATGGGTGATTGCACAAAACAAAACAAGTATAGAGGGATAAATAGACATATTGTTTTAGGTTAGAAAATCCTAAAACATTTAGTTCCTAAGATGACAGTGTTGAGGACATGAATATTGTATCACAAATATTTTTTTTAATTTTTTATTAATTACACTTTATTCATTTTGTATCGCCCCATAAGCTCCTCCCTCCGCCCCTCCCAATCCCACCCTCCCTCTCCTTTCTGCATGCATGCCACTTCCCAAGTCCACTGATAGGGGAGGTTCTCATCTCCTTTCTGATCTTAGTCTATCAGTTCTCATCAAAAGTGGCTGCATTGTCCTCTACTGTGGCCTGGTAAGGCTGCTCTCCCCTCAGGGGGAGGTGATCAAAGAGCAGGCCAATCAGATTATGTCAGAGGCAGTCCCTCTTCCCATTACTATGTAACCCACTTGGACACTGAACTGCCATGGGCTACATCTGTGCAGGAGTTCTAGGTTATCTCCACGAATAGTCCTTGGTTGGAGTATGAGTCTCTGGGAAGTTCCCTGTGTTCAAATTATCTTATTCTGTTGCTCTACTTGTGGAGTTCCCATCCCCTCCAGCTCTTACTATTTCCCACCTCTTACATAAAATTCCATTCACGCTGCCCATCAGTTGGCCATCAGGCTCAGCATCTGCTTTGACAGTCTATACTGCAGAGGCTTTCAGAGGCTCTCTGTGGCAGGTTTCAAGGTTGTTTCCTGTTTTCTTCTGGCTTTCAGAGGCCCTCTGTAGCAGGTTCTGAGGTTGTTTCCTATTTTCTTTTTCTTCTGATGTCCATCCTCTTTGCTTTTCAGGATGGGGATTGTTTACATGTACAGATTTTAGTGGGTTTATTCTATGTTGTATGTTTATATGAGTGAGTACATACCATGCGTGTCTTTTTGCTTCTGGAACAACTCACTCAGGATGATCCTTTCCAGGTCCCACCATTTACCTGCAAATTTCATGATTTCCTTATTTTTCATTGCTGAGTAATACTCCATTGTATAGATGTACCACAGTTTCTGCATCCATTCTTCAGTTGAGGGGCATCTGGGTTGTTTCCAGCTTCTGGCTATTACAAATAAAGCTGCTACAAACATGGTTGAGCAAATGTCCTTATTGTGTACTTGCGCCTCTTTTGGGTATATGCCTAGGAGTGGTATGGCTGGATCTTGAAGAAGCGCTATTCCTAGTTGTCTGAGAAAGTGCCAGATTGATTTCCAGAGTGGTTGTACAAGTTTACATTCCCACCAGCAGTGGAGAAGGGTTCCCCTTTCTCCACAACCTCTCCAGCATGTGTTGTCCCTTGAGTTTTTCATCTTGGCCGTTCTGATGGGTGTAAGGTGAAATCTCAGGGTTGTTTTGATTTGCATTTCCCTAATGGCTAATGAGGTTGAGCATTTCTTTAGTAGCTTCTCTGCCATTCGATATTCCTCTACAGAGAATTCTCTCTTTAGCTCTGTTCCCCATTTTTTAAGTAGATTACTTGGTTTGTTGCTTTTCAGCTTATTAGTTCTTTATATATATTGGATATTAGTCCTCTGTCAGATAAAGGGTTGGTGATGATTCTTTCCCAATCTGCAGGCAGTCGCTTTGTTTTGATGATGGTGTCCTTTGCTTTACAGAAGCTTTTCAATTTCATGAGGTCCTATTTATTGATTGTTGCTCTTAGAGCCTGTGCTGTTGGTGTTCTGTTCAGGAAGTTTTCTCCTGTACCAATGAGTTCTAGGGTATTCCCCACTTTTTTTTCTAGCCGATTTAATATGTCTGGTCTTATGTTGAGGTCTTTGATCTACTTGGACTTCAGTTTTGTGCAGGGTGATAAGTATGGATCTATTTTCATTTTTCTACATGTAGACATCCAGTTGGACCAGTACCATTTGTTGAAGATGCTATCTTTTTTCCATTGTATGGTTTTGGCATCTTTGTCAAGAAACAGGTGTCCGTAAGTGTGTGGGTTTATTTCTTGGTTTTCTCTTCGGTTCCATTGATCCAACATTCTGTTTCTATGCCAGTACCATGCAGTTTTTATAACTGTTGCTCTATAGTATAGCTTGAGATCAGGGATGGAGATACCTCCAGAAGATCTTTTATTGTAGAGGATTCTTTTAGCAATTCTTGGTTTCTTGTTATTCCATACGAAGTTGAGAATTTTTCTTTCCAGGTCTGTAAAAATTGTGTTGGTAATTTGATGGGAATTGCATTGAATCTGTAGATTGCTTTTGGTAAGATGGCCATTTTTACTATGTTAATCCTGCCAAGCCATGAGCATGGGAGATCTTTCCATCTTCTCATATCTTCCTCTAATTCTTTCTTCAGAGACTTGAAATTTTTTTCATACAAGTCTTTGACTTGCTTGGTTAGGGTTACACCAAGGCACTTTATGTCATTCGTAACTATTGTGAATGGTGTTGTTTCCCTAATTTCTTTCTCAGCCCTTTTGTGTTTTGTATACAGGAGTGCTACTGATTTCACAAATATTTTAATGAAAAATAAATGACAAATTCACTCATCCACAACCAAATGCTTTTGAGAGATAATATGAAGCAGGCAAGCAATATGCTGCATGAGTAGTAAAAATTAGGTACTTTTATTAATTCTGTGCAGTTCATTAATTGGACGAAACAATGAATCTTACTTTCAGACAAAACCTCACAGGTCTAATACTTACTAATTATCATAATTATTTAGGATGACCACAGTCAGTGATGGGAGACTAATTACATCTCAAAATCAGAGTCAGTGTTAACTTGTTGACCAAATATCAAATAGTTTTGACTTAGTACTATATATATATGAGGAGGAAAAGGAAGCAAGAAATATGTCACTGAGTGTTACTTAAATAGAATAGTGGGCTGCAGGGTTATAGAATT